ATTTGTACCACACTACTGCCAAATTGCCACTCCACCGACAGACGTAACCAGGAAAAAACAGCCAAATGCAGTTCAGTGGACTGAGAAGTGTAAGAAGCCTTTAACCATCTTAAGGCGGCCCTTACATCTGACCCTGTACTTAGGGCCCCGGACTTCAACCAACCGTTCGTCGTAACCACAGATGCGTCCTAGCAAGGTTTAGGAGCAGTTTTAATGCAGGAAGGAGCAGATCAACAATTCCATCCTGTCGTGTTTCTCAGCAAAAAAATTTCTGAGAGGGAAAGCCCCTGGTCAGTCTCAGAAAAAGAATGTTAAGCCATTGTGTATTCTCTGGAGAAGCTACGCCCATACATTTGGGGACAGCGTTTCCAGCTGCAGACTGACCCCATGCTGCACTAAAGTGGCTTCACTCAGTCAAAGAAACTAACAAAAAACTTCTTCAGTACAGTTTAGCTCTTCGAGACTTTGATTTTGAAATACAACACATTTCAGGAGCCTCTAACAAAGTGGCTGATGCACTCTCCCGGGAAGGTTTCCCAGAATTATCAGAGTGAAAATGTCCCCTGTATTCTGAGTCATTGTAGACCTTAAAATGTGAAAAGTAGTTTAGTTTTTCATGTAATTATTAGTGAAATTAGAGGTACATGTATCTTATTAACTCTGTTTCCTAAACCTCCGGGAAGAAATCCCAGCCGGTGTGGACCTGACCTAAACCAGGCTGGCCAGCACCATCTGTGATTTGGGGTGTGTGTGAGATAAATGAAGGGGGGGGGAGAGCTCCCTTTTATGGACACCCAGCCAGTCAGCTAGCTATAAAATCCCTGTTAGTAGCTGTTCTCTACTTGCTTTACCTGTAAAGGGTTAAAAAAGTCCACAGGTAAAGGAAGGGAGTGGGCACCTGACCTAAAGAGCCAAATGGGAAGGCTAGAACTTTTTAAAATTGGGGGAAAACTTGCCCTTTGTGTCTGTTGTTGTTCTCCGGGGAAGAGGGGAACAGGGCAGCAGTTATGCTGTGAGAAGCTGAAGGCCAGGTATGAAAGTCATCAGAATCAGGCCTAGAAATTGCTTATTTGGAAACCCAGATATGTAAGTAGATCAGAAATGTCTAGGAAGACGCGATTAGGTTTATTTCTTTTGTTTTGTAAGGCTTATGGACTCCTCTGTGCTAACCCCAAATGCTTTTGTTTTGCTTGTAACCTTTAAGCTGGACCTCAAGAAGGTTATTCTTGATATTTAATTTTTGTAAGTGGGATTTTCAAATCTAGTAAAAGCCTAAGATCCAGATGTATTCTCTTTCCTTTTGTTTTTAATAAAATTTACCTTTTTTAAGAACAGGATTGGATTTTTTGTGTCTGAAGAGGTTTGTGCACATGTTTTTTAATTAGCTGGTGGGCAACAGCTGATTTCTTTGTTTTCCTTTCTCAGCCCTTCCCCAGAGGGGGGAGGGTGAAAGGGTTTGAACGTACCCCACAGGAAGGAATTCCCAAGTGAGCCTTCCTGGATTCCAAGGGGTTTTGCATTTGGGTTGTGGCAGCATCTACCCAGCCAAGGTCAGAGAAAAACTGTAACCTTGGGAGTTTAATACAAGTCTGGAGGGGCAAGTAATTAATTTTTAGAGTCCTTGCAAGCCCCCACCTTCTGGACTCGAAGTGCCAGAGTGGGAATCAGCCTTGAGAGCTCTTAAAAATGTTAATCCTCTGAAATACTGGTAACTGTTCCTTATATCCCAGCCATGACAGTATCTATGGTGCACTTCAGTGCATTCTAAGGTCTCTTCTAGCCATGGCCTACAGAGTAGCACCCTAATATGCTCCTTTCTTCATACCGCTTCATCCTTTTAGTGTTGTTTCTTTGACCAGATTCCTCTTTTAACTACAAAGGTGATTTATTTCAATCTTCATTTTCCTAACACTATTTGATTAATAGAAATCAGAGGCATGCAGGCAGTAGCTAGGGCATTATAGCAGGCACGTTCTCAAAGGCCCTATAGATGCTCAGTCTGTTTCCTGACTCTGTTTAGAGTCAACTGGACTTGGTGCCTCATTCCACTGGACCCTAGTCTTTGGCGCTTTGAGGCCTGTTCTCCATTCTGGCTTTTTTGACACTTTGTTTCTTGAAGTGAAGTTACATTCTCTGTCTTCTTTTGTTGTTAAGATTTCATGGAGGAAGAAAGTCCAACCACCCAAAAAAGCTCATAAAATTCATACATTGGCAATTTGGCTGAAGTGTACTTTGCCAAGATGTCACCCTGACTTATCAGAATGCCAGATGAGTGTCTGAAATCCCTGCTAGCCTCTGCAAGGATGCCCAGGTCTTCATGGACAGTTCAATAAAAATAGCTCTAATCATGCAGGAGGAGGAGATTTGATCAGAGTGTAACTTGTCATTTTCTTGGTGCCTCCAATAATGCTTTCAGTATATAGCAAGGGCTGAGATAATGAAGTAAAATCATCGCCATTATTCATGGTTGAAGTCTTCTGGTCTTTCTCTGGAGATCCAGTCAAGGATTGTGGTTTGACATTTGAAAGCTGACCTTAAAAACTTAACACATTAAAAGCACTTTGGTACAAAGTCATTGGCCAGATATCTGGGATTGACTTGTCCTGCATCTCCATAGAAAAATCTCCTTTCTATTATCTTATGCCATTGAGTTTGTGCTTCTAGGGCTTCCAGAACACTTCCTTGTCAGCAGTAGAGGAGTAGGCAACTCAAGAGAAAACAATGTAAGTGGAGATCAGCTCCATGGGATCCTTAAGCATCTTCATGTAGTTGGCATCAGATTTGATAAATGACCCCAAGAGTTTTTTTCAGTGTGTGTTTCAGAAACTTTCACTTAGCGATGATTGTACCGGATGCATCCAACTTGAGATGGGTCATTCATTTTCTATACTGTATTACAGTTTTTCAGGCAGGGACACTGTCAACCTCTGTGTTTGAAAAGTTCCTAGCACATTTTGGACACAACTGCAACCTTAATAATAATAAAAATTGACTCTAAACAGCCAGTGTAATTACAGAGACAAGGTGGATGAGGTCATATCTTTTATTGAACTAACTTATATTGGTGAAGAAGAAAAGCTTTTGAGCAACACAGAACTCTCCTTCAAGTCTCAGAAATGTAATTATGGTGTACAAACGGAATCACAGAAGGATATAATTGCATATAAGTAAGTTGGAGCTCCAGGGAGTAGAGCTCCATGTTCTCTGAAATCTTTCCTATCTCAGATTAGAGGAAAAGAGGTGCTGATTACAGTATCACTGCAGAATATTACATAAACAAGGTGCACGAGCATACTCTGACACTCTGCCATAACGCATTGTTAATGATGTACACAGCATCAGGCTCATCCAGCTGCCTGACATCTACCAGGGAAAGAAAACACTTGCAGATGACAAGTGTTGCAAATGTCAGAGTTAACACAAGCGAACATGTTCTGCCATAAATCTGTTTACATCCATTGTAATCTCAAAATGTTCCATCTCTTGCTCAGAAAGCCTTTCTACTGAATCAGAATTGAGGCTTCTCCACCAGGCACTGGGAGGAAAAGGTGAGAGAGTCCACAAACATTCCTTGTATCTGCTGCCAGGCGCATCAGGTCTAGTATGTCATTCTCTTTGTTCATCAGTGCCTTTGGCTCTTCTACCAAAGGTTTTTGGATCTCCTGTCTCAGAAACAAGGCTGAGCTCTCCAACTCTGTCTCAGATTCCTTTACCTGGTTGTCTGGATTGTCTAGTGCTGTTGTTGTATGATCCTGGGAAGGTTCAGAGTTATTATTAGTCTCTGAAGGCAGTGACAACCAAGTGCTGTTCCCTGCAATGGAAAATACTTTATTAATAATTTTTCAACTTTTTATCAATTTCTGATATTTGATATGCTTCAGTTAAAAAAAGGCTGTGTCTCTTGCATGTGTCAATGTCTGGAAGCTATTAATGTATACCATTTGCTGATCTGTGGACACTTATTTCTTCAGTTATCCTTTGGTTCGAAAGTTTTTTTTAAAAGACTTTTAATGTCTTCCTGACAATTTAAGAGCCTGTCTTCTTTGTTTGTATTAATGTATTAGTTTGTTTGTTTATTTGTAATGAAATGTTTCCTTTTCTTATAAATGTTTTTTTGGGAATTTTCATCTTTCACTTTAAGGATGCGGAGTGATGTTGTAGGTCAGGGGTGGGCAAACTACAGCCCGAGGGCCACATCTGGCCCGCCAGCCATTTTAATCCGGCCCTTGAGCTCCCGCTGTGGAGTGGGGTCTGAGGATTGCCCCACTCCGGCGCGCCAGCCAGGGACCAGGGTTGGGGGCTGCTCCACGTGGCTCCCAGAAGCAGTGGCATGACTCCCCCTCCGGCTCCTATGCGTAGGGGCAGTCAGGGCACTCTGCTCTGCATGCTGCCCTTGCCCCAAGTGCCACCCCGCAGCTCTCATTGGCTGGGAACCACAGCCAATGGTAACTGCAGGGGCAGTGCCTGTGGACGGGGCAGCATACATAGGAGCTGGAGTAGGGACATGCCATTGTTTCCGGGAGTCGCTTAAGGTTAGCGCCGCCCTGGAGCCTGCACCCCTGAGCCTCCCCCCATGCCCCAACCCCCTACCCCAGCCATGATCCCCCTCCTGCCCTCCAAACCCCTCGATCCCAGCCCAGAGCACCCTCCTGCACCCCAAACCCCTCATCCCCACCCCCACCCCAGTCTGCACCCTCAGCCAGAGCCGCACCCCCTCCTGCATCCCAGCCCAATTTTGTGAGCATTCATGGCCCGCCATACAATTTCTATTCCCAGATGTGGCCCTCCGGCTAAAAAGTTTGCCCAACCCTGCTGCAGCTTCTGATGAACAATGAGAAGCTACCCGTACTTCAAAAGATCAAAACTGTTAAGACCACCGGTTTCACGCTGGAAGCAGAGAGCCAAGAGTGAGAAACCTGTGAAATGGTATCTTTGAAGAAGAATTACAGCTAAGTAAACTCCTTGTAAAACTGTTCACATTGTCTCTCTCTTCTCTTTAGCCTGATGAAAGACTATTTCTTTAAACCACCAATTAATAAGTTGAGCCTGAACTTCCTGGATGGGGACTTGGAGATGGCTTACAGGACCAGCTATCAGGAAGAGGTGCGTTTTCCCCTGAATCGGGTTGGGTGTCAGCAGTCTTTCGGTACCGGTTGTAGGAGCCAAAATAATTATCTCACTGTTTTTGCAAATTTTATTGCAGTTGATGACTGAGATCATGGAGTGTCAAATATGACTTAATATTTAGAACTACTGAGAAATGACCACCTTATTTTAGTTCACCTGTCATGATCAGTTTCCAGGATTTGAACATTAGATTCTTTCTGGCATTCTATTTTCTTTCACCAGTAAAAATGGACCAGAATAAATTTCAGCTGTTGACTCTATACTCTATAAAGTTATGAACACCAGAGTTACAAACTGATCAGTCAACCACACACCTCATTTGGAACCAGAAGTACGCAACCAGGCAGCAGCAGAGTCACACACACACACACACAAAAAACATCACTCACAGTACCGTACTATGTTAAATGTAAACTACTAAAAAACTAAAGAGAAAGCAGCATTTTTCTTCTTCATATAAAGTTTAAAAGCTGTATTAAGTCAATGTTCAATTGTGAACTTTTGAAAGAACAACCATAACGTTTTGTTCAGAGTTACAAACATTTCAGAGTTACCAATAACCTCCATTCCCAAGGTGTTTGTAATTCCGAGGTTCTACTGTACCTTCATTTTCATATTTAGATTTAGCTTTCACCGGGCCAAAATTATGTAATCAGGTAATAGTGGAAGGCAAATGCTCCTTACTGCCTTTTCAAATATCTTAACTTACAGAATGAAAACTCTCAAAATTGGATCTTGGCTCTCTAATACTTATTGCAGTCCCAAGTTTATCTCATCCTCACCCAAACGTGCTTTCATATCAGTGTTGTAAATTACATAAAACTACTGCAGTATGAAATTGGAAGTACAGAAGACTTTAGTTAAAGAAATAAACTCCACATCATTTTCAGAATTCTGCACTACCAAATATTAGTGTCCTGAATGTTTTGTCTTTTTATTACATTGCGTCCCACTTTCAGACATGGCAGGTATCCTTGCTTCCTTGACATCAGCTGGTAGCAAGGGATTCTCTACTGGTAAATATCAACTTCAGATGTCAGAGTTAACTGATTAATATTGGGGGAGAGGGTTGAGTTCCCCCCTCCCCAGCCTTCCCTCTACCACTGGTAAGAAATAAATCCTATGGGAACATTTCTTCCTTAATTCTTGTACCATATGATTGCATTGTCCCTGGCCACAGTCCCTATCTTCCTGTAATTTCAGTCTTAATAAATAAGGGCTCATCTACACTACTGCCTAAGTCGATGTAAGTTATGTTGCTCATGGGGTGTGAAAAAACCACCCCCCTGAGCAACGTAACTTACATTGACTTAAAGCGGCATCTACACCATGCTATGTCGACGGAAGACTCTCTCTCACCGACATAGCTTCCTTCTCTTGTTGAGGTGGAGTAATTACGTCGACAAGAGAGCGCTCTCCCATTCAACAGACTCGCTAATTCGGCGCTGCTGCATTGATGCAGCAGTGCCAATTTAGTGCGGTAATAAAAACAAGCCCTCAGACATCTCTAGTTTACCTTATAATACAGTTAAGCATAAATGTGTTTTTAGTGCATTCTGAAACTCTCACTCTATCTTTGAGTAAAAGCTGTGTCGTGATACTACGGAAAGAATTTACATTTAATTTCTGCTGGTGTGGATACTTAAATAATAGATGTGAGCTGTTATTTCTCAGCATGCTAGTATTGCATCTGCTTTTGTCAATAAATTGAGTGAAACAAGGGAAAAAATCAAGCCTACAAAATTTAACTGGTAGTAAATATTTGCTGCTGTTTATAAACCATTATAAAGTACTGGATGTTAATAACATAATGTGTCTATGTGTGTGTACATATGTAATAATATTTACACATACCATATATAGTACACTACATTCAGTGCTTTCCAAATGAAAGGAAAAGAGGAAAGAGCAGTAGCTACATCTTCATGTGTTTATCATAATTTTGTGAGGCCCACAGATTGCTAAATAGATGTGGGCATATAAGAACCCTAGATAAATAGCGTGTATAGTGTGTTATGGGGCTAAGGGTTTTATCAGTGTGATTTTTTAAATGGGTGCATTACTTAAATGTCAAAACAACATGTGGATTATGCAGATATTCCAAATGAGTACAGATAATACTGTCACCAACTTCACAGCTTCATACGTTCTTTATATTTCTCACAGGTTGCAGAAAAAGTATTTTCAAAATATTTCATTCCCCTCAAAATTACAGTAGTCTTGGTATAGGCAGTGCTGAGTCTTTAGTAAATAAAAGGTTTAATGACTGATATCCAATGCCCATATAGATATAATGAGGTCTGTAGCCTATTGGTAAAGCGAGAAGCTCAGATTTCCAATGGGACATGTAGCTCTTCCTTCCAGCCAAATAAGATCCGAGTTACTTTTAAGTCATGACATATTTAGATATAGAAAAGTGCTTTGATACTTCAGTGATGGGTGCTATACAAAACTATAAGATTCATAGCTATTTTAGGTCATATTTAAAAGTGTTTTTGCTTTTTTTTGCCTCTGGGGTTTGTACATTTGGGCTCAAGGTAACTAAGACTCCTGGTTCTACAGGAGGAAGACTAAAATAAAATGGAAAATTTTGTATTTTGATTATTTCATTTCTGGTGCTGTCCTCTGCCAGTTCTGCTGCGCTGCTCTTCTGGCAATAACAGAAATAGTTTATACTTGTCCACTGGGTTTCTGGGCTTGGACACAATCTTCCAGAGCTGTATTGGAACACTTATGTCTTATTAGATACATGAAAATTCTTACTAGTGATGCCTTATATAACTACACTGATCTATGGGGGAGGGATAGCTCAGTGGTTTGAGCATTGGCCTGCTAAACCCTGGGTTGTGAGTTCAATCCTTGAGGGGGCCACTTAGGGATCTGGGGCAAAAATCAGTACTCGGTCCTGCTAGTGAAGGCGGGGGCTGGACTTGATGACCTTTCAAGGTCCCTTCCAGTTCTAGGAGATGGGATATCTCCATTAATTATTATTATTATTAATATAAAGAGGCCATTCTAGAAATACCTGAAAAACTTCTCTGGGTTGGGGTGGATTGGAGGAGAAGTCTGTCCCAGAAAGGAAGTCATCAGGTAATAAATTTTCTGTTATTGATCTCTCCTCCAATCTGAGACATTTGACATGTAGTGAACTGTAAGGAAAAATGAAAAAGGAGGGAGAAATAAATGGGGGGGGGGAGTAAAGGACTCCCTCCTCTAAAATTAGTAGTATTTATCTATTTTGGGGTCACTAGGGCTCCTTTTGAACTAAACATTATTTCCCTCCCCAACCTCTCTTTTTCTGAAATTGTAGCATACTGAAAGCATGCACCAAATAATCTACTAAAGTAGAAATTTGCAGCTTATTGCTTTATTGGACTAGTGTGAAATGAAATATCATTAGCTATTTTAGAATGTAAATTGCTGAGAATTGGCCAGAATTATGGTTACAAATACTGTACAATGTAGGATGTGTATTTGATTATTTATCTGAAACAAACTATTTCTACTCTCCTTCACTGAAATTTTCAAAGTTTATATTATGCACAGTATTTTTCATAAATGAAAATGGGCACTATAGACTGCTTTCACAAGTTTTTTTCTGAGCTGCTTGATTATCTTTACTTTGTGTCTTTGAAACCAGGATGGAGGTAGAACTCCAAGTGTACAGCTATTTAAAAAAAAAACGTTGGGGTACAAAATGACCTTCATGGTGGGTATATGACATTTGTTTGATTGGCTTGCAGTCAGCGATCAGTGAAAGCTACTGCCAGTGATACCATAGCTGATGAATTCATCTTAATCCCATTGTTTCAGCTGTATGTTTAGGTTGCTCTCTAATCACTTTCCGTAAAGGACTTCCCCTTGCTGAAAGCTTACTTTTACCTGTTCTATTATGGAGTTTAATCCACTGCTCATGCTCCTTTCCCTGTCACTGACTCCAGGCTCAATGATCCAGTCTCTCAAATCTAGACGCAGTCACCTCTAGAATGTTTAATATAATTTGAAGATATTAATAAATTATTTAAACGTCTACCTTAATATTTAGCCAATATTCCTCAAATTTGTTGAATGAACAAGTATTTGCAAAGGTTTTGTGGAGCTTTGTGTATTTCCCTCTATAACTGTTTTGTTCATTACGCCATATATCTAAAAATATTAAGCTATACGTACTGCTAAGGGAGATCCAGCATATACATCACTTCACAGAATTTGAGAGCAGTATGTACCCTTAGGGGAAGCACAACAGGAAATGCACAGCATTATCCAAGTCCACTGCTGAGATCTATACAGTGGATCTTACAGAGACACTTCCTAAGACTCAAAGAATTCTAAAAGGAGTCAAGTACTTTATCTGCTTTGTGAGCTTCCCCTCATATCAGATACTACCATTCTTCTTCGAGTGGTTGTTCACGTCCATTCCACATTAGGTGTGCGCGCGCTGCGTGCACGACCGTCGGAAATTTTTCCCTTAGGGGTACCCATCGGGCCGGTGGGGCCCCCGCCTGAGCGGCGTCACTGCGCCGTGCATATATACCCCCGCTGGCCCGACCCCTCCAGTTCCTTCTTACCTTCCCTTAGCTTTAGAGTACTTAGCTGCTATCAGCTCATTTGCATTCTATTGTTGTGGACACTTAATAGATTAGGTGCTTGGAGACTTCCAGCACCCTCCTGGGGCTGCGGGGCATGCCGCAGGCCCAGGGGTTTAAGGCTTGCGCCATGTGCCACAAGCCCATGCGACCCCCACGACTCCTGTCTACGTTGCCTGGGGGAAGCACACCAAACAGAGAGATGTAAGATTTGCAAGGCATTTAAGCCTAAAACAAAGAAAGAGAGAGACTTTCGCTTGAAGCGATGGAGGCAGCGCTGCAGCCATCGGGCCCGGAGCACCTGACGCCAGCTCCAGCCTCCTCGGTGCGGAGCACCCCGGAGTCGTCAGGAGACCCAGTGCCAGATAAGCACCGGAAGCCATCAGCCTCGGAGAAAAGTAGGCCACAGCAGCGCTCATCCTCCCCGGTGCAGCCAAAGGCCAAATCAAAAGAAGGGCATGGACGTACCCCACAAAGGAGACCAGCGCCATCTAGGGGTCCGGGCACCGGAAAGAGCAGGATGAACATTGTGCCTGCGCCGGCACCGATGGCACCAACGCCACAAGTCCCACTGAGTCCAGCCCTAAGTGAACTCTGTGAGAACGACGGGCTCGAGTGAGTAATAGATCAGCCCTCCACACCTGACACCTTTGAGGCGGTGAAGGACCTCATCAGGTTGTCGGCGGTGAGTCCCCTCCCGATCAGGGAGAAGCCTCCGGCACCCGGGCCCGCAGTGCCATCAAGGGGAAAGCCGGCAATGGTGCGCCGTTCGAGGACACCCTCGCTCCCGGTTAAACATTGAGTCTGTGGACTCTCAGTTACCCATGACGCAGAAGGAGGCCTCGGTACCGGAGACAAGTCAGCGCACAGGGTTAGTACAAGGGACCCGACGCTCTCCGGCACCCTCCAGAGACCGGCACCAGGAGAAGGCAAGCCGACCATCGCCAAAGGCTTCCAGAAGTCACCGGTCCAGGTCCAGGTCTCTGGAGCACCGATATCGATCCCGTTCCCGATTGGCAAGAAGCTGCTCGTCGGCCTCCTGCCAGCACAGGTTGACAGCACCACTGTGGCCTTCACGCTTGGCGTCACTGGAGTCCAGCGCCAACTCGGGCTGATACAGTTACCCGCACCGGGCACCAGACAGCAGAGAATACCAGGCTGGGTGGCAACCCCAGTGGGGACCGCCAGGACACTGGCCCTTCTGGACCCCTTGGGCCTACCACCAGCGGCAAGGGGCTCCCTCCAGGGCCAACTACTCAGTGCACTGGTCCCGGTCCCCACATTGACGCTCCTCCATGCAGGAAGCTATGGCATCCACACCACTTGCACCGTCGCTGAGCAAGAGACCAGAGAAACTGGCACCGTGTCCGGTGCCGCCCCAGGGTCAGCTGTCCGGGCCCGAGCCTGAAGCCCCTCCTTTGGGGGAAGGGGACCAAGGGGACCAGCAGGAGGAAGCGGAGCAGCTGCTGACCTCCTCGTCATCCCCGGATGAAGCAGTGGCAGGCACAGCGCTATCAGGACCGCCGCCAATAGACCACAGAGCCCACCAAGAGCTGCTGCGTAAGGTTGCTCGTAACTGGGGTTACAGGCGGAGGAGACGGTTGAGCAGGAAGACCCCATGGTGGACATCCTGAGCCCAGAGGGTCCATCCAGAATAGCGCTTCCACTCATTAAAACCATACAGTCGAACTATAAGACTATATGGCAGACCCCGGCCTCCAGTGCTCCAACAGCCAAAGGTGTGGAACGCAAGTACTTCGCCCTGTCAAAGGGGTACGACTTCTTGTTTTGCCACCCAAGCCCATGTTCCCTGGTAGTCTCGGCGGTAAATGAGAAAGAGCACCGTGGGCAGCAGGCCCCAGCCCCTAAGGCCAAGGAAGCGAAGCGCCTGGACCTGTTTGGCAGGAAGGTGTATTCCTCAGGGGGCCTCCAGTTGAGGATTCCTAACCAATAGGCATCCTCAAGAGACATAACTTCAACTCCTGGGCGGCAGTGGGGAAGTTTACGGACAACCTCCTGCAGGGCTCCCAACAGGAGTTTACGGCGCTGGTGGACGAAGGCAAGGCCGTAGCGAAGACCTCTCTCCAGGTGTCCTTGGATTCAGTGGATGCAGCGACCAGGACAATCGCGTCTGGCATGGTCATGCGACACTCGGCGTGGCTACAGGAGTCAGGTCTGCCGCCTGAGGTCCAGAACTCGCTCCAGGACCTCCCCTTCAAAGGGTCTGGGCTCTTTTCGAACCAGACAGACACAAAGCTGCATAGCCTCAAGGACTCAAGGGCCACACTCAAGTTGCTGGGTATGCACACCCTGGCGATCCAAAGAAGGCCCTTCAAGCCACAGCCTCCTCCTCAGTGTCACTACCAACCTCGTCCTAGGCAGGAGCCCTACTGCAGGCAAAATAGGGATAACAGGAAGCGGCGTAATGATTATAACAATAGCTCCAATAGGCCGGGCCAGAGCCAAGGCCAGCATAAGTCTCAGCCCGGCCCTAAACCAGACTTTTGAAGGTGCGCTCGAGGACAGCGTACCAGACCAATCACCAGATCCATCCCCTTGTTTCCTGAATCACCTGTCCCGCTTCTCCCATGCGTGGTCCAGCATTATGTCAGACCGTTGGGTGTTACGCACGGTGCAAGGCGCTTACATGCTGCAGTTCTCCTCCCTGCCTACCTCCCATCCCTGTTCCCCGTCCCTCTTCAGGGACCCTTCTCACGAGCACCTCCTGTAAGAGGAGGTTCGCACACTCCTAGAGGCGGGGGCAGTAGAGTTGGTACCGAAGGACCTAAGAGGGAAAGGGTTCTATTCCCACTACTTCCTCATTCCCAAGGCCAAAGGAGGCCTTCAACCCATTCTGGACCTGCATGGGCTCAACATGTTCCTGGTCAAGGCCCAGTTCCGCATGGTCTCTCTTGGCACAATCCGGGGACCTGGTACGCTGGATCCGGGGGACTGGTACGCTGCCCTCGACACACAGGACGCGTACTTTCATATCGCCACCCACCTGGTGCATCGCCAATTCCTGCGCTTCACTGTGAACCAAGAACGTTACCAGTTCACGGTTCTCCCGTTTGGCCTAGCTGCGGCCCCATGGGTGTTCACAAAATGCATGGTGGTAGTGGTGGCCTTCCTACAGAGGCAGAGGGTCCAAGTTTACCCGTACCTCAACAACTGTCTCCTGGTGGGCCGGTCCGAAGAGGAGGTTCGGTCCCACGTGTAAGTAGCCCGCACGCTGGGGCTCCTGCTCAACGTCCCCAAGTCCACCCTCATTCCAACTCAGAGAGTGGAATTCATAGGGGCGGTCCTAGATGCGGTACAGGCAAAGGCGAGCCTCCCAGTATCACAATTCCTGGCCATCCAGCAAGCAGTGAACTCCCTGTGCCAGTTTCCCACTACAACGCCAGATGCTGCCTGAGGTGCTGGGCCACATGGCAGCATGCGCGCATGTGGTCAAGCATGCCAGACTGAAACTCAGAACGCTGCAGGCTTGGCTCGCCCGTGTATACTGCCCAGGCAGGGACCCCCTGGACTTGGTAGTGACTGCCCCGGGGGACGTATTAGACTCCCTGTGGTGGTAGCTGTCTCAGACCGTGGTTTGCGAAGGCATCCCCTTTGCTGCACAACAGCTGGACCTGGCGCTTGTGACGGACGCGTCAGACCTCGCATGGGGTGCTCATCTAGGGGACCTCAAGACTCGGGGCTTGTGGTCGGGAGTGGAGCAGTCGCTCCATATCAGTGTGAAGGAGCTCAGGATGGTTCGTTTAGCCTGTCAGACTTTTCACGCCACTTTGAGTGCTCACAGCGTGACAGTTCTGACGGACAACACGACCGCTATGTTTTACATGTCCTCACCGCTCTGCCACGAGGCTCTCCTCCTCTGGGACTTTTGCATAGCCCACGCCATTCATCTCGAGGCGTCACATCTCCCGGGGGTGCGGAACGAACTGGCAGACCACCTCAGCAGGTTGTACCGCATGCACGAGTGGACGCTCAGAGTGGATGTTGTGTATTCGCTCCTCCGCAAGTGGGAGTTTCCCCAGGTAGACCTGTTTGCCACCAAGGGCAATGCCCAGTGCCCGCAGTTCTGCTCGTTCCAGGTCCGCAGCCCGGGCTCAATAGCAGATGCATTCGCGATCCCGTGGGGAGGGAAATTGAAATACGCCTTCCCCCCGCTTCCCCTGGTGCACAAGGTCCTGCTCAAGGTGCGCAGGGGTGGGGTAGCAGTCATCCTCATCGCCCCGGCCTGGCCCTGCCAGCACTGGTTTACCACGCTCCTGGAGCTGTCGGTGGAAGCCCCGGTAACCCTGCCCCTACACCGGGACCTCATCATGCAGGACGGAGGGCGGCTCCTCCACTCCGACCTGCAATCACTGCATCTAACGGCATGGAAGCTCTGTGGCTGAACGCTTTGAAGAGCCAGTGCTCCCTCCCTATGCAGCAGGTTCTACTTGGTAGTAGGAAGCCCTCTACCAGGGCGACTTACCTGGCCAAGTGGAAGAGGTTCTCGTGCTGGTGTGGGCCTTAACAGGTTCAGCCACACCAGGCTCCGGTGCCTGCCATTCTAGAGTACCTACTGCACCTCAAGCAGCAGGGGCTGGCCCCGTCCTTGATCAGGGTGCATCTGGTGGCCATCTCCGCCTTCCACCCGGGATTTCTAGGGGGCTTTGTGTTTTCCCACCCAATGGTGGGGTGGTCCCTTAAGGGGCTGGAGAGGGTGTTCCCCTACTCACGCCCCCCAGTCCCTCCATGGAATCTCAACTTAGTCCTTTCTAAACTCATGGGGCTCCCGTTCGAGCCCCTTGCTACCTGTTCCCTCCTCCACCTTTCCTGGAAGGTGGCATTCCTGGTGGCCATCACCTCGGCAGGAAGGATATCTGAGCTGAGGGCACTCACCTCAGAGCTACCATATACGGTATTTCATAAAGACAAGGTGCAGCTCCGCCCACACCCCAAGTTCCTCCCAAAGGTGGTCTCACAATTCCATCTAGGCCAGGACATTTGTCTGCCAGTGTTTTTTCCCAAACCCCACGCGGACCCAAGTCACCACAGCCTGCACACCCTGGATGTCCGTCGAGCGTTGGCGTTCTACTTGGAGCACACCAAGCCTTTTCGTAAATCCACGCAGCTGTTCGTGGCCGTGGTGGAAAGGATGAGAGGCCTCCCGGTGTCGACGCAGTGAATCTCCTCCTGGATTACAGATTGCATTTGGGCGTTTTATGACCTCGCAGGTGTTCCGGCCCCAACGGTCATGGCCCACTCGACCAGGGCGCAAGCAGCTTCAGCGGCTTTCCTGGCACAGGTCCCGATCCAGGAGATCTGCAGAGCAGCCACCTGGTCGTCGGTGCATACCTTTACAACCCACTAGTCGGTCAACCAGCAGGCCCGAGAGGACGCGGCGGTTGGCGGGCTGGTCCTCCGATCAATTGTTCCGTGAGTCCTACCCTCCTCCGAAGGTAAGCTTGTGATTCACCTAATGTGGACTGGACGTTAACAAGCACTCGAAGAAGAAAAAATGGTTACCTACCTTTTTGTAACTGTTGTTCTTCGAGATGTGTTGCTCACGTCCATTCCACCACCCGCCCTCCTACCCCTCTGATGGAGTCGCCGGCAAGAAGGAACTGGAGGGGGTCGGGCCAGCAGGAGTATATATGCATGGTGCAGTGACGCCGCTCAGGCGGGGGTCCTGCTGGCCCGACAGATACCGCTAAGGGAAAAGTTTCCGATGCTCGTGCACGCGGCGCGCGCACACCTAATGTGGAATGGACGTGAACAACACATCTCGAAGAACAACAGTTACGAGAAGGTAGGTAACCGTTTTTTCATTGATATCTATCTAAGAGCTATCAGTCAACTGTGTTTGAAACTGGTTCAGAAATCTGTGTTGGTTGTTTACTAATGATGTGGAAAGAAAGCCTTTGCTCCCTGTTCAAATTTCATTTTTTAAAAAGCAGGTGACACTTCTTTTCACTGAGAAGTATTTAAAACTAGCAAAAATACTTGAAACCTGCTGTCAAAACATAGTTAGTCATTAGACTGCACAATTGCAGGGCCAGCTCTAGGTTTTTTGCCACCCCAAGCAAAAAAAAAAAAATGCCACCCCTGAAATTGTGCCACTTGCTTGGTTTGCTGGTGCCTAGAGCCGGCCCTGCACAATTGGGTTTGGGTGACCCTGTGGGACTAGTGAAGACCCTGAATCATTGCTAATTTTGAACTCTGATTTATATGATATGACATAAATTAGTAAGCATTAGGGTTTCTGGCAGTGCAAATTAGGCTTTATTCAAATGCTGAATGAACCTGAAAAAAATTTATTCTGGTGTGACCCACTGTTTTGTTTAATCTTCCCTCGAACACAGAAAAGAGGCCACTTTTGATTTTATGCCATTAATTTTAAATAATTTTTCATCCTGGCTTTTCTTACACACAGGCATTTGGTAAAGGATGACAAAACTACCAAATATGGCAGGCAAACATTTCATTCTCAGTCTTTATGGCACCTTAGTCCTGTACAGATTGAATAAGTGTTTGAGGATTTTGCACCATTATGAACTAGTACATTGATAAAGAAGAATGAGCCTTGCATGTTTGTGAGTCAGTGTACATCTGGATACAGCCAACAATTTATTCCTTCTTTTTCTGTTTCCAGCAGTAAGATATTTGCTATGGAAGCTGCTTCTTGTGAACCAAAATCTAAACTGACTTTAATGGGGACAAGAACTATAAACTCTGCTCAGTTTGCTGTTTATCTCAAGAGCGCACCTGAATGTTAGTTTCTAGCTTTAAGGATGATAAAAGGAAAGATGGGGGAGTTCACACCTCTGAGTAATTATTTCAAACTACATGCAGACTCTCATTGAAAAGGTTTTCTCTGTAACCATGAGAGCCAGAAGTGGGTTTTTTTTCTTTTTAATGAAAGAAACTACAGAATCTGAATATGCCAGGGAGGTCAAATAAATACATCAAGAAGGCTGGATACAGCCCCTTGGGTCCTGGGATTGATACCCTTGCTCCATCTGCACTCTCCAAGTGATAGATTTGGAGGGGACAATGTGCTCTATGGGTTGAGAATTAAATTCTGCATAGCAGTAAGTGATTTTGTATCTTTTTATCCCCTCTTGTGTTCTTGAGAATGTTTTTACCTAGTCTTTACATGCTTTTTGTGTAATTGTGACGTTCCCCTCTGGTGTTATGCGGACCGGTGATCTGCTAGGTCACTCTAATCCTTGACTCTGGGAGCCAGCCTTACCCTGCTCTGCAGTGAGAACCCCCACTCCTGGGCTGTTCATGCACAGCCTCTGGCATGTAAGCTGCTCCTTGGATTGTGCAACCAAATGACACTAGCCAATATCTCCGGTCCCAAATACAACCTTAGGAACCTATGTCTTGCAGTGTCCAGTTATGCCCGCTGGACGCTGCAAGCTTATATGAGTTTGTCAATTTAACAAAGAAATTGATATGTACCAGGCTTGCTATCCCAAGAGGAGCCTTTTACACACTTCAAACCAAACACACTGCTTCAGGTAGAATAAACAAACAGATTTATTAATTAGATAGATTTTAAGTGATTATAAGTCAAAGCATAACAAGTCAGATTTGGTCAAATTAAATAAAAGCAAAATGCATTCTAAGCTGATCTTAACACTTTCAGTGCCCTTACAACCTTAGATGCTTCTCAGCACTGGCTGGCTGGTTGTCTTTCAACCAGGCTGTCCCCTTTGATCAGTGCTTCAGTCATTTGGTGTGGTGTCTGTAGATGTAGGTGGAAGAGAGAGAGAACATGGCAAATGTCTCTCCCTTTTATCATGTCCTTTCTTCCCTCTTGGCTTCCCCCCACCCCCTTCAGAGTCAGGTGAGCATTATCTCATCGCAGTTCCAAACTGAGCAAAGGAAGGGGGGGTGATTCTCTCGAGAGTCGAACAGATTCTTTTGTTGCTGCCTAGGCCAGTGTCCATTGTTCCTGTGAGGCTGGGCTGGGTTTGTCCCATATCTGCCCTGATGAGGTGTGAACTGCCTCTCTGCTCTCAAAGAGTTTTTTCCTGGGCTAATTTTAAGCCATGAGAATACATTTTCAACCTCATAACTACATACATGAAATTATAACCTGTAACATCACTATAACAACAGTGCTCAGTGCATCATGAGCCTTCCAAAGACACCTGACATGACAAACTCTGCATTGGATACCACACAATCATTTTACAAGGATGAACATGGGGGTGCTGGGTGTTCCCCCAAGGTACAGAGCATCGCAGTAATCTTTCTATATTATTAGCATTCTGACAACGTTCTTTGAGCCCTTTAAAAATATGACTGTGAACAAGGGTGCAAATTTTGATGATGTTTTTTGTGATGTGGACTCATCCACCAGGAACTGGACTGAGACTACCAACTCCTTTCACAGTGGTCATTCAGTATTTATGTTGAAGTGCTGAGCTGGCAAAGTGCTATGTATTCTTTCTCTTTGTTTTCAGATATGTTTCTGGAGTGTAGTACAATGTAATCAACATAGAAAAACTTATTCATGTTCTCTTCCACTTCCTCTCACCCCCCATATTCCAAACAGGTTATAAAGAATGCTCCTGTGAAGACATTTGCCAGTGCTACCTTCAGTTCACTCCTGGATGTGTTCCTGTCCACAACAGTCTTCCTCATACTCTCGATCACCTGTTTCCTGAAACATGGGATGGCCCTATCCCCTCCCCCACCTGCAGCAGTTGTGGTGTTCATCATTGCCATCCTGCTAGAGGTGCTATCTCTTATCGTCTCAATTAGGTAAATAAAGTGAATCAGAGTATGGGAAATGGCTGGGATCACAACCCCCAAGAACTAAAATGGTGGCTGGCTTGAAAACTTTGGTTTTAAAACAACTTCAGGAACTTGCTCTCCCACTTGGGGAACAAGGTGGGAATGGGGGGGTGGAGAAGGAAGATACTGTTTTACCTACAACTCAACAATTACCAAGTAAAAAATAATTTGAGGGTTTTTTTAATTAAAAATAGAACGTTGTACATACCGAATCTTTCGCAGCCTGCTGTAGTGCATTATGATTTACTGGGATTTACCATACTGGATCAAATAATTGATCTGCCAAGTCTGGTATCCTGCCTCCAACATTGGTCTGTACTTGATGCTTGAGAGAGAAGTTAAACTCTTTCTTGGTACCAGCTGCAGCAGTCATGCTGCCTTACTGCACCATGGAAATGAAGAATAGAATGTGACAGGGATGTAGCAATTATTTAAATATGGAAATTCTTATTACACCAACTGACACACGCAGCTACATAGAATGTAATCTCCTAAAGATGTGTAATGGTCAAAGTGTTGTTGGTCCTTCAAGCCCTCTCCTTAAGTGTCAATCGTTTTTTTCAGTTACTTGTAAGTGTCTGACAGGTTATAGCATCCAGAGGCTTTAGGACAGCATCTTCCCTATAGTGCTGCTTTCTCCAGCATGCAGTGAAGAGTTAGAAGAGCCTCTTTATATAAAGCCCCTGACCCCTCCTGTTCCTAGCATGCCATGTTAAAAGCAAATTAGTAGCTAGGTCTCTCCTCTCCACTCGCTCTGCACCACACCCAGACAGAGTCTCACTGTGAACTAGGGACAGATGTCCCAGGTCCTGCTTCCTGCATTTTTCTGAAAGAAAAGTTGAGTACATTAGGAGAACAAGGGAGCCGTGATCCTTGCTCCTTTTTCTTCAGCCTTGGAGCCCTAACAACCATTGTAGAGAATAAGTGCATTTTTTTTAAAAGCATGGATTTTTCTACCCCAAGCGCCTTTCTATTCCCCATGGCCATGTGCTCAGTTACACTGCCCTGAATTCACATTGCATATTAAGCAAATACTAAGTTCATTATGCTGGAGTTCTTCTGATCTGTTTCTTAAAAAGATCTAGCTATTGGTTTAATTAAAGAATACAAACAATAGAAGATTTCAGCATGGAAACGGAATCTGCCTCCCTTCACTAGCCCCCTTTGCTCCATCCTGCAGCTGACTGAGAGCCAAACTGGCCTTTGGTGCAACTTAGAGTAGGTAGAGGCCTGTTTTGAGCCTTTGTAAGACCAACATCAATCCTTCAGTACCTGGTAATCTGCCATGGCTTGTATAAGGTCCTGTGAACTTCAGAAAGTGCAGGAGGCAAACATGAGAGAATCAAAATATGGAACCTAGTGCAGCAGAAAGGCTGGGCAAAAAGGAGAGGTGACTTCAAAAGGCCGGCTGGGGAGACAGGAACCAGTTCCTATCGCTTACATTCACAGTGCCCTGTCAACTTAGGAACTCCACAAAGGATGCTGCTCCCTGCCCCTCAGTGAATGTCACAGACATTTAAAAACATAACAAAACAGAAACCATAAAGAAATTCTCATGCAAAAAAGGCATTAATCTTGTGGCAAGATTGTGCATGTAATAAAGGTAGTGTGGGGCTAATTATACATTCATTTACATCTGTGAAAACCCATTGGGTTTGCATAGGTGTAACAGCATTTGCTTGTAATTGTAAATCAGCAAACAATTCTGTTGATGATGCAGTAGAATAGAATACAATCCACATTCTTAGTTATATTAGCTTTGCTGGTCCTACAAGAGTAAAAAGCAGTAAACTTGTCTTTGTCACTAAAATAAACCTATACAAATTATGAATACCTACAAGAAAGACATCTGTTGAGTAAGAAGATGCCAGCTTTTACACAGTCATTTTGCAGAGCACAGCAGAACCCTGTTCCTTACCCTGGGGACTTTTGCAAAATAAATAATAATTGTTTTTAAATAACCCTACACAAATATTGTATCTGGCAAGAAACCATCATTTGAAACTCAAGAGGTTCAGCATTAAGATCTAACTTGGAAGAAACTCAAATGTAAGATTTGTTAATTAAGGCACCCAAACACTCTTAACTCCACCCTGTAGAGAGGCCAGTTTTCAAACTTTCTTTTTTCCTTCCAAGCCTGTTTTATAAGATATGTGAATTTTACATTAAGGTTTTAAGAAGTCTGTGTCTAAAGCTTCAGACATGTTACATGTGGAGAAAATATTAAGCTAATACAGCTTGTGGGTACAATGTCAAAAATATTCATCACATGACCTTTTGTTTTATTATTTGTTTTGTTCTAATTTCTCCAACACTGAATGTGATTCTTCATCACCACACTAATCTAGGCTGTTTTCATTCAAGTGCTATAAATTAATGATCTGAGCGTGTAGGCTTTATATGTAGACACACAGATTCTGAGTTTAGTGATATTCTGGAATTGGTGACACATGAGATCTTAAGGAGAGAGGGTTTATTCAGTATGCTATTTGTGTAATCAGGAATTTGCAATTGGATCGTGTACGACTGCAACAATGACCAGAGACAGCATGCCTACTGTGCTATTAAAAGAAAAGCAGTCTAGTTTTTGTGGTCACTAATGAGGTGATCTTATGTGGAGAAGTAATGGTGTTATTCTCTTTGAGAATTGCTACTGGGACAAAATTAATGTTGGATGCCTTGATTGTGTATTTCCATATTATTAAATTATTGGGTTTGTTTTAAGTTTAACCTTAACTCGAAATGTCTTGGGTTTCTAATAGGGGTTGTTTTTTGTTTACATCTACAACATACCTTTATTTTTTTGTTTTGTTTTTGTTTACCCTAAGTTACAGACATAGACTCTTAAATGATGTAGGGGCTTTTGAAAATTTTACCCTATGTCCCATTTTCAAAAGTGATTTAGACACCTACAAGCCTACAGTTCTTTGAAAGTCAATGGTACTTAGGTTCCTAAGTGTCTAAATATCTTTTGAAAATAGGACTTGGGCTCCTGAGTCACTTAGGTGCTTTTGAAAAATTTACCCCAGCTCTCAAGCTTAACTCTAGCTTGGAAAACTGTTTGTCTAGGTCAGGGGTCGGCAACGTTCGGTACGCGGCTCGCCAGGGTAAGCACCCTGGTGGGCCGGGCCAGTTTTATTTACCTGCTGATACGGGAGGTTCAGCCGATCGCGGCCCCCACTGGCCGTGGTTCGCCGTCCCGGGCCAATGGCGGCGG